CTGTCCTTCACCGCTGAAGAATGCAAAAAATATTTATTTACGTGCGCATGTTACACGAACAGCAATCAAACACGTATATCCGTGATAGGAATTGTAATTAACACGGAAGTAAAACCGCGTGTCGCGGTTTGTACGCCGTAAATTTTCAAGGGAAACTAATTAACATAATTTGCCAGTTTTAACGAAGAAAAATTGCCAACCTCGATGATGGTTTCAATGTAACAAATTGCTATTTCACCATTGAATACCGTTTAATTAATTGTATAATTTAACCACCTTTAACATTAATATCATTACTCTACATTTAAAATTCACTCTGTACATCAATTTTCCATCGTTCCTTTTTTGCTGCAAGTTTTATTCATTACCACTCACTTTTTACTTTTCTTCAATTGATAATACTTCAAGCACACCAAAAATTGACTTCGGAGCATCGTAAATTCAAAATTAAGAAAAATCAACTAGTAATTAAGTCCTATCAATATCGAATTTAACCCAAAAGCAACTGAGATACGTAACGAATAAAAAATCGACAACACGTACCGATTCGATCGATACTCAATCCGTTTAATTGGCTGCTTGAGCCAATAACGAAAGACGAAGAAGAGACGTCGTGGGAAAAAGTTGTTTGAAAAGTTCGCAGACAGATCTACGATCGCGCTTAACAGCGGCGAAACTTTTACATTCGTAGTTCTTCGAACAGTTGGAAATAAATCCACGAATAGGTGGTGCGATTCGACGAAACCTTAACTTCCCTTGAAATCGTTAAAAGCACTCGCGCGGTGGAAGAAATTCGCGATTCCTTTCAAGGTTACCACGCAACAGGGCAACCAGTTACTCAGATGCGAGCAAACATTATGCAAATATAGAATTTTTCAGAGCAAACGAATTGGAAATGTGGATATGGTACTCGCTTATTCTAAAAATTTTGCCAACTTAACTTGAATATAAGAGTTAACTTATTAGTGGAAAATGGGTCTCGTTTTATTTAATAAGATGCTTGTTCCTTCGATGATGATGAATTCGAATAGTTAAGATATAAGAAAAGTGGGTTCTGTTTATGATAAACGTTAATTTTACCTCTAACTTTAGCTTTAATTTACGAGTTTGAGGATTATTGAATAGAAAATATGTATATATAATTAAACCAGATATAAACTATCTTGCGACTATTTTTGTAACTAATATATTTTTCGATCAGACTTCAATTAAATATTAAACGATAAAAACGAATTTGCTCGTTTAATAATATTTAATAGAGTTATAAAAATAGTCGCAAGATAGTTTATATCTGGTCATGTGAAAAGAGAAATACTATAAACGGTTTAAATGTACTTAAAATTACCGATCGAGACGATGCAGGTAATTAACAAGATTCTAATTAGTGAAATCGTTTCTGACGAGATTGACACGTGTCTAATGACCGCAGAAAGGGACGAAAATTATGCAGGCTTTTGCGCGAGAAGCTTGCTTTACCTGAAATGAGCCTCAGCAGCAGAAACTAAACGACCCGAAACGACAAAATGCATCACAGGCGAGCAAGAAAAATAATCAACGTGCCTCTCGTAAGTTGTTTCGCGGGATCGTTTTATAAATTCTGCGCCTAACCGTAGAGCAGATTCTCAAAGAATGTTCTAAATCTGGAAATTCAGATGAACGTCGTCGGATGATTAATATATTAAACTTGTTTTCTAAGTAAATGGTCCTTTGTAATCTCGTATGTACATACACTTCGATTACAGAACTCATTTGCTAAAAACCACGACTTTGAACGTATAAAAAGTTTCTTAATCAACGAATGAAATAGTAAGAGAAAGTTCGGAAAGCTAGCTGGTGAAAATAATTCACTTTTTCAACGAAATTTCGTAACTTTTAATTAAGTGCTAATAAAGCTCTCGTAACAATTGTAATTTCTTCAGTGTGCATTACTCGAAATAATTCAAAATTTACATTCTGTTATAATTGGAAAGAAGTATGTACCCGTGAATCGAGTGTAACAGAAACATCGAGACAATCAATTAGCCTATTAATTATTTTTCATCAATTTAACAAAGTTATTATTCATTTCTGAATAATAAAACTTCTCTTTGAACTAAATATTAGTTTATCAAGTAACAATTACCTACTTCTCGTTAATTATTTACCAATGAATATTTCTACATCTAACTAAATAGTCAAAAAAATTTATTTACCATTCTGAACCTGATATAATTTCAGCGTTTTGCGTGGAAGAAAAGAAAAATGAAATCGCTTCAACCGTACGTAATTTCCAACAAAAGTTTCTCTGTTCCTGCTATGTACTAGAAACTTACGAATTCACGCTGAAATTACGAGAAAGAACCATCGCGAGATTATTTCCTTCTCTTCTGGAAAAAGAGCTCGAGCCAAAACAGCGAGGCTTAAATTTCTCCGATAAAATCTGCTCGAAATGGTCTCCCCCCTAAGAAAGAATCCAGCAGGTCTTTGGACAAAAACGCTATGCAGTAAATAATCCGAGAAATGTTTACAGATTCCTTCCTTTCCTCCGATAACATCAAATTACGGACCGTAGCCTCCTCCCACGCGGCCCTTTAAACAAATTACCAAAGCTATGCTTCACCAATAACGACTGTATCGATGTTCGAGATCGCAAATCCGGTGGCGAAGTCGTTGAAACGAGCTCGAAAGCACGTTTAAAGACCGAGCACGATCCAATGATCCGTCGAGAATCAGAGTAATTCAGCGAAGTGCACGAGTACACACTTTCTGCCGTCTCGATGGTTCTGCATTCGTTATCACGATCTTTCACCCCCTCGTTCTTTTAATGGACGCATCTTCGAAGAGAGAGGCGAACCACTTTCGATTTCATGGCGCAGAACGATCATTCTCGTGTAATAACCAACCCTGGATAATTTCTATATCCACGTCGGGAGGCGCGACAAGTTCGTTGGGATTATGGAAATGATCATTTAAGAGTCCTGACTCTGTCACATGACAGAGGGGTAACGAGAATTTCGCGAATAATCGACTCCGATTAAAACCGGGGTGAACGTTTACGTGAAGAGATACTGCGGTGTAACGGAAGCTTTATTATACAATCTCGTATTATTTGAATAATAGTAGTGCAGTGTAATCTGTACTTTTATTATTTCGTTCTTTGTTGGGATATCGTTTAATTCAATGTAACCGTTTTTATTCTTTTAGATAAGAAGATTGTGATTAAGTGGAATATTCTGCTATTCACTTGTTATTAATGTTGTACTCGGTATGTAAAATTCTGTGAGAGTGGGATTGTAGCGTGTCAGTGTATTATTAGTATAATATTGATGTTATCATAATATATAAATGATATAAAATGTAAGATGAATGAAATAATCGCTGGTGATAAGATCCAGTACAAATTAGTATTTTTCTGGTATCCGAAAAAATGTAATGCTTTGGAGAAATAAAAATTTAACCGAATATTATATTTTACAGTATGTTAAATCAACGTAAGCCGAAACATTGATACCTGAGTTTGCTTGAAATATTCAAGCAGTGATAAAAAGAACTCGTAACTTATCTTTTTATATCATTTTTATGTTATCATCTTTATTCATACTACATTTTAAAAATGTACAGACTAATGTGAGATACCGTTAAAATAATTAAGATTGTATTGAATTTTGTTCAAGGGTTATAAATATTGAATTGTAATATATACACGAAATATCTTATCAGAATTTTTTACGTTTCAATATTCATTATTCAGACTACATTTTCAATTTGAATATTTGCATAATTTCGCGTTTTAAATCAAGATATTTTCACCGATATACTTCAAGATTAAATTATTTTAAGAAAGTATTTTATTATCGAATAAATAGCAATGAATAAAAAATGAGAAAATTCTGTGGAATTTTAGGCTTAAAATAGTCGAATATCTGTAGAATCAAACACGAGACATTTATTTGATATTTCCGTTAATCTCTGCGGATTATCTTTGCACCGACAGCAAAATGCAATTTGATTCACTTGAGTGCCAAGAGTAGAATGCGCATTGATCTTTAATCCGATACAAAGAGAAATTTTGCAAGCAAATAATACTATCATCCGTGCAAACATTATAGAATCAAATGTTTCATGTGTTACAATTCAATATTAATACTTACGTCGCTAAAGAATCTTTTAATCCGTCAAACGGTTGAAATTAAATTACAGATTCTCAGAAAGAATTTTCATAAAAACACTCTTGATATCATTATTTAAAAAGAAAATAAGCAAAAATAGAAAGAGAACTCTGATT